GGGGGGGGGCTGAGTGCAAGCAGCTGGCCAGTTGCCGTAATGCCTGAATCACGTGCAACACCCAGGGCCTGCTTGTTCAGCTGGCCGCTTTTTCGGTGTTGTCTTGAGCTGTGCTGCAGCACCGGGAGCCAGCTGTTCTGCGGGCAATTATGTGGCTGTTTCGAGATGTCTCTGTTGCCAGCAACACCTCTCCACTGCTTGACCATGATGATGATGTACCTTGCCGACTTGAGTTTGTCCTGAGAATGGTGCCAATTTTGTACTGCGAAAGCAAGAAATTGGGTCAGAGGGATACCAAATTTGCTTTCCTCGGCAATTTTTGAAACTACCCGAAAAAGTGCTATTTTTGAAAGAATAAAAGGACGTAAAAGGTAGTCAGAACTGGGAAAACGGTAGTATAAAATGTGGGTAAAAATGCAAGTTGTTATTGAAAACTTGATACCTACTCCAGTGATTTTTAGCTGTAGTGCTGGACAGCGTGGTAATGCTTTTCAAAAGCCAATTCTTCAAATTTGATTAGGATTTAGACAAGCTTACTGAGCTGCGACTAATGAAATTCTTCCATTCGCCTCACTGGAACCCACTCAAACTCCTGGCAGAATCGCGAATAAATGATCCCATCAGAGTGTTGAGTGTCACAGTTCATTGACCAATTTATTGGACGGATGCTAAGATTGGCAAGATCTTTCGCGAGCATCAGTGTGATCGTACCGTGTCAGTGATTTCACTGAAATACTCTGTTCTTTAGAGCCCTTCAACAACCTTTGACGACCTTCTGGCACCAGCTTTTTTCCTGTGAGTTCTCGTAGAGCATTTGCGTTTCGTTTCAAATTTTTTTTTTTTATTCAAAAAATGACAACTGTCGGAGGAAAAAAGTTTTTTTTTTCGAATACATTTGAGCAGCCGCTTGTCGTCGTGGGTCTGTTCGGACAGTATTTATTGCAGGCCCGGGTGCTTAACAAAAATTTCTGCGACAAATCTGGATGTGTCTGTGAGGTGGATGCTATCAGATGTGTTGGTGTCAATCCGAACAGTTTCGATCAAACCGTTATTGCTCAGCTTATGCCTTACGTTCGTAGTGTATCATTCACAAAATGTTCTCAGGTACGCGTGGGAATCGAGACCTCAGTTCGTGTATAAAAACAATCAAGTCAATAAAAAGACGCAAAATCCCCGAAAATAATGCCTCAGATACTTTTTCAGTAAAAAGTATTAATAACTGACTGGAGGGCTGGGGTAATAGAGACTAAGGAGATTAGAGATTAAATAAGTGATCACATGATTTGGTACTTTGGCTTTTGTACTTTTTTTCTCATTTTCCTTCACACTTCATTCATTGGCTTTTCTGTACTCAAAGAGGAGCATGCATGAAGCTTTCGAAAGTTTTTGGGCTCATGAAGTAGCTGCTTTCAAAAAAAAGAAATTGACATTTTGCAAGCAGTAATTAATAGCTCTTCTTTTTCGTGAAAGCTTAGAACCATAGGCTGTTACTGTGCTAAATATCTGCCTAAATATCCCTACATATACGTCACGATTTATATAAAAACGCGTAAAAAAAAGGCAATAAGATATAGTGGGAGCTACACTGCGAAGCACAAGAAGTATCCCCCCTCTCCGTCAGAACCAGTATTTTTTTTTTTTTTTTTTCACTAATTTAGCGACGATTTTTCATACATCGGCAGTAGATAGGTGGCTGATGACTAGGACGCGCAGCTAACCTGAATTTCTGAGGACACACTGAAAGAAGGGGAAAGAATTTTATCCGAATCTCTTCTAATAGTTACGTTATTTTACACATTGTCACGCGTTTTTTGCGTATTTATGCAAATACAAAAAACATATTGGCGAGAGGTTGTTGGTGTTTTTGTTTATTTTCACACTCTTGTAGCTGAATTTTCTGGAGCACGTTCTCACCCCACCTGCACTGCTCCATTTTTAAAGTCGTCCTTCACGTACATCTGAGTTTCACGTATGAACGCCTAAAAAAATTCATGTAAGCTTTTTGGCGGGAAAAGAATTCCGAGAACCAAGCCAGAAAACTGAAATTCCATAGGGACATTCTATGTCCTTGTATAAGCTAAAAATTTTACGTTCAGCTCGGACGCAGGCGTACACCATGCACAGTTCGATTTCGCTGTAGTTGACGAAATGCCATCCGGAGAACTGGGCTGAATAAGTTCCAATGATTTTGCGCGAATATTTTCATCTATGTGCGAGTTCGTGTACGTTAAATGAGCATTCGCCTATGCCTATATCACGCATGCGGGATGTGACAAACTATTTTTGGCAGGAAGGCAATTTTGGGAGCCAGTTGAACTAAGAATCTGAAATCTTCTAAATCCAGACAGTCTTACTATAACGCGGAATTGTGGAAAACCGCATGATTGCACAGAAAGGCCTAGCTCGCCGCAGTTGATTAAAATGTTCTTTTGAATTTGAACGACCATTCAAACGACCTTCAAACAAATAAATTTAGCGAACAAGGAGTGGTTTAAGTGGAGGTTTGAGATGGCTGCGCCCGACACTAAGAGGTTCCGGTTGACATCACTGAGATGAGAGCACCGCCTCTATTACTTGAGTCGATTTGATCGTGGTATGATTCTGCAAAAAGTAAAGTGAATAATTCATGGGTGAAATAACAGATTTACAGAAATTTTTGGAAATTGTCTGTTTTTAATTCTTCAAATTTAAAGCATAAATTTTCAGAATTCTCTCGATTTGCATATTTTTTCGAATTTCTCCTCACTGCGGTCCATTGCTATTCATAACTGTGGCTTGCAGCAATTTATTTCTACTGCTGGGAATTTTAAAAATTTGCGCATTTTGGATTTAAGTAACAATAATTTGTGGAATTGGGATGAGACATGTGGAGCACTTAATAATGCATCATCATCATTGCATAAAGTTGATCTGTCACATAACGAGTTCGTTGAATTATCATCTACGGGCGATACTGTTTGTAAAATCAATCGATTACAATACCTCAATTTCTCCCAAAATCGGGTAAGTTTACAGTGTTTGTAGCTTAGCGAAGAGAGTGTTCTCTGTTTGTAGTGTGCGACAGACTACTGAGAGCACATTCGATTTGCCTCGTTTGCTGCAGTGGCTATTAATTCCTAGTTTGACCTCTAACTCTGCTTCCCCAGTTGCATTGACCGGCGCCACATCATCTGCTAATTGATCAGCTACCGGCAATGTTAACGTTCGTTTCGTCACCTCCTAAAGAAATTAGCAGCTCAGCACTGTCCCCAAGAAGTAGAGATCCAACAGAATTAGTCTCAGGAAATCCGTTAAGTGCCACAAGCTCGTTTTGAACATTGTCACTTCTGCATTTTTTGAGGTAGCTTAGGAAAAGAGAAAATGTGAAGACTTTATCAGTGCAAAGGATTGCCAGGCACTAGCAGAAAATATTTGAGCAAAAAAAATAAAAATAAAAAACTATTCCAGGTAGTGGAGTTGAAAACAGTGCCAGATGCGCTGGTTCTCGATTTTACATCGAATCATCTGTCACACATTGCCGGAGAATGGCCTTTTTCTTTGATAGATTTATATTTATCGAACAATCCGTCACTGGAGCAGTTGCCGTCATTTTCCCTTGCCCCTCATCTAACCTCGTTGACCATGGATAATTGTGAACTCACC